TCTCCCACTCCCAAACTTGGGTTAAGCTGAAATTTTGTACTAATTAACAAATGTGACTAAAGTTAGATCTCTTAATATGTTTTTCAAATAACTATAAAACCTTCTATTTTCATAAGAACCTCACTGTCTTATTGGTAAATGTATTGATCTTTGGATGCTTGAGACCTCAAAAATGAATTCAAGTCGTACAATATTTTAAACCTCCACCCAGAAACCCCCTCCCCCCCCCCCCCCCCCCCCCCCAAACTGGTCCAGACAAATGATTGGATTATAGCGCATAGAGAAAGCTAAACAAAAACAATTGGTAAAAAATATTTCCAATCTCACAGATTTAGAACTATTACAAATATAATTAGATGACTGATCCAAACTAATTGATACAATTCACTTAATATAAGCTTTGTTTTTTAAAAAGAGTATTTTAAAAATATTTTGCTTGTTTCAAACTACAGTGTTAGCTAAATAGTAAGGCAACTGGCTAACCTATCACTTTGTATAGGACAAAAAGTTGAGCTGACTAATTGAATCCTGACATTTGTACAAACTACAATTACAAAGAAAAGAGTTTGCTTTGATTTGTCCAGTTTGGTTTTATTTTGACAATTATTTCTTTTTAAAAATTTCAGAGAAGAAAAAGACTCGTCCAAAATCTTCCATTGATAAGAGGAGAAAGTTAAATCAGTCCAGTAGATTTGATGAATCTAAATCTACCATTGTGACCAGAGTTCCTAATAAAAGTGTGGAGGATCTCTACTGCCTGGACCTGCCAACCAAAGCTATGAAATGTAGTCCAGGTTTCATGGAGGGATATCTAACATCAGTGTCCAGATCCACAAGCTCTGGTTTGCTGGATACTGCAGGCATCAAGGTGTCACATTCCTCTGATGCCCTGACGCCAAGTGCCAGCTTTGATGAGAAAGTGTCCATATCTTCCTCGTCGTCCTCCTCCACTTGTGGGATCAACTCTGCGGCTACCACCAAGTGCATATTTGGGTCCATGTTTGGTGCCATCAAAGATATCTCTGTCTCCAACATCCACTCCAGCAAGAGTGACAAGACGAGAGATTTCCTCAGCAAGGACCTGGCCTTGACATTCAACACCTGGGACTCGGATGAGCACAAGAAAGCACCGGAGAAACAAAGCTGTAGAGGTACAGGGCATGCTCGGCGACCTCTGACCCTGGATGAGTGTTCAGGTTTGTCTGGGCAGGGCGTTTTGGATCATAGCTCTGGGCAGTCCCTGTCAAGGCCAAACAAATCCCAAACACAGGCCATTGTGAACAGTCAAGATGACTCTATTAGCGCATCAGCACATGGCTTTAGAGCTGGACAAGTCCTGCAGGAAAACAAGACTTGGGATTTGATCTGTAATGAAGAAGTAGATGATGATGCAGTTCTTTCTGAGGCTCAGGCAGCTCTTTCTGAAGCCCGAGACTCTTCACATGCATCTGAGAATACAGATGTAAAAAATGCTCAAAATAGTGTTCAAGAACTGATAGGCAGGAAGTCCGCATCTTCTTGTGAGTTTTCACTGCTGGAGATGGCAGAAAATCTCCTTCAGATCACAGCTGATGTGCACTATAGAATCAAAGAGATTGAAAAGGGTATCCGAGGACTGGACTTGTCTGGCTCAACCCGGTCTGTGAAGTCGGCAGATGCAGCGGTTGGGCAGAGGGAGAAAAAAACTTTCAAACTGAGAGTAAACTCTGCGAGTGATGTCATTGTCAGAGAAAACGAGAGCCCTCCTTTGCCAAGAGCTGCCTGGTCTGACGAGGTCACAACCGATGACCCATCTTCCTTGTCATCAAAATCAAAAGCTAAGTCCAGGAAAGTGCACTGCTCCTCTAAGGAAAAGATTGCGCAGGGTAAACCTCTGACCTTAACCTGTGAGACTTCTGATAGTGTTCATCAGTTGGCATTTGGTTGTCAAGGGAAGTCTGCTCGGGTGTCGCCAAATCAGATTTCTAAGCTTTCAGTCAGAGCTATGCTGACTGAGCCATACGTCCTGGAAGAACTTGACTCTAGACAGACTGAGGTAGAGGATGAAACAGAGCTAACCACAAATAGAGATGCTAACCCAATTGCACAATGGTCAGCTCATGATGACTACTGTATTCTGCCCCAAATGAACACACAGCCGACAGATACATGTGCCCCTAGTGCACAGGGATCTCTAGAGTACTCTTTGTTCAGAAATACACAGGCTGACCCTGCCAATCAGTTGGACAGCACATCTGACTCAAAGCTGTTGGATGGGCATCTTGACTATCACCAACCAATCAGTGTTGAGGGAGACGCAGACGGAGGACTGTCAACAAGTGCCTTGATTATGGATGCTTATGAGATGGCAGCCTCCGAGGACCAGGACTTGTGGGAAGATGCCAGCACTGGACTTTCTCCAAAAGCTGTTAAGGAGGATCAAGGTGATTGTCAGCTGTGTGAAGAAGAGGATGATGATGATTCAGTTTATGTATAATATATGCATTATAAAAACCTTTCTTCCAATTTTTTTTTTTTTTTTGTAAGGAGTTTCATTTATATTTTACAAATAATTTGTCACAAATATTTGGCTGTTGCACCAACAGCGCAACTGCTCCACAGTCTTATAGACAGCAGATTTCTTTTTTTTTTATATAATTTTTAATTGTAAACAGCCCATAACTGTACATAGATGTTACAATATTAAAATCCATTTCATTGACACACTAGATCAGTTTAACTCACTAGATCAGATTCACTCACTAGATCAGATTCACTCACTACACCATGAAAGAAAAAGAACTTTTGAAACCACTTTTTCATCTAATTCTTCTCTATGTTATACAAATATTGGATTCTTCTTTTGTTGTCTTGTTAATTTAATGTTTCAACCTGTTCAAATGGCAAAGCATTTTTAGTTTCCTCGACACATTCTCTAACATTACTTGACATTTTGGATTCAAAAGATGGTTTGAATTTTCTTTGTTTATTTACAATGTTCGATTTAAAATGAAATATTTTGATATGATATATTTTGGCTTAGTATTCATTTTAAAAATATTTGAAATATTATCAATAGCTTTTCTCACAAAAATTAATTGAAATTGTAGGAGTGTGATTGTCTGTAGACTAGAACAACATATTTTTTGCTAATTTGTTATGTGGATCAATTTTTTAAAAACCTATACACTCTGTCTTCCTTTTTTTGGTCTCTCTCTCTTTTTTGTTTGTTTTGCAAATATTTTGTTTCATCTCATCTTGCAGTTGTTCTTTTTTTTTTTTTTTTTTTTTTTTTTTTTTTTTTACATTTTACATTTTTTTTTACCAGTTTTCACTTGGTCTTCTGCTCATCATCTTCTGTAGGGAGTAATAATTGTTGAAACTAACAATAAGTGCTGCATTAACAATTAGCCTAAAGAAAATTCTTCAGATTGAATTAGCTTTCTATTGAATGTTTCCTTCATCAGAAAAAAATTTAAATCATTTGTTGGGGTGATGGACTAAGCGTGCCAGAAAAAGTGATTCAGACATATTTATACTTTAAAACATGTTTATCTGTTATTCTACATTGTTTTCTTATTTCTCAGTATTATTAAAACTAGTTACCATTTAGATCCTTGTAAAAATCTCAGAATTCAATTTTACAAAGGTAAAGTGTTTTTAACTAGTTATCTTGCTATCAGGGTTGAATTAAATTCAGTTTTCACTTGAGAAAGTCCATAGAAAGTGCAAGACTCTTTATTTTCTTAAAAAATGAAAGCAAGTGAAAAATAACATTCAATAGAATACAATGTACTCATTAGATTAAACTAACAATTCTGCCTAGAGATATACACTTTTTTCTTTATTCTTAATGAATTCCTGATGAATTCTATGCATATTTCCATAAATGTATTTGACTTTGCAAACAACAACTAAATAGTAGACTTCATCATTCTGCAAGCAGAGAACTTTAACAAACATTCTTGGCTGTTGATTCAGCCAGATTTTACCCCTGGTATCTACACTATTCTACATGGAAGTCAAGTAAAAAAAACCACAAGGATTAAGGCATGTTTCTTATTCTGTATTCTTGGACAAAGTTGTACAAGTATTTCTTCTTTCCTTGTGTAATTATGGCATAGAAAGGTTTTCTGAATTGTTCAGGAAAAAACTAATGACTTAGAAGTCTCTAATTATTCTACATGTATGATATTTTAAACAGCAATCTTAGACTGTGTAAATCCATTGACACTGCTTGTAAGAAAATGATGAAATTAAAAGCTCCATTTTCTGAGTCAAGGTTAAGACTGTAATATTTGATGCTTTTTTCCCATTGGCTGTGATCAAGTCTGAGAATTCCTCGTACCTTTACAACAGTTTTCTTAGAGATCTATATATTTCGCACTGTACAAAATTATTTTTACAACATGGCCTATTTATTCATATGTGCCATACGTAAACTATCAAAAAAAAAATATAAAAAAAAAATATATATATATATATATATAAATATATATATAAACAACTTGAAAAAGAATTCAGTCCATTTTTTGTTTCATTATTTTGTCCATTTAGGATGTCATTTTATCTGGGTTTTTTTTTTTTTTTTTTACAATACTTCTATTTAACTCATATCTTTGTGGAAAAACATGGAACCTTGGTGGACAGATATAAAAATCGCTCTAACAATTTTTCTAGAAATTTGACAGTGGATGTATGTCCATTACAAAAGATATACTAGCCCATTGGCCTCAATGTGAAAACTCTAGTTTTACTTATAATTTTTTCAAAGTATAAAAATAAATAAGTTTAAATTTGGCTAGAGATCTAGGAAATCTTTATCTTGAATGGATTATATTTGGCTTTAAGTCTTTGGGTATTTCCTCAAATAGTCATCATTTAGTCAAAAGTTTAATAGTTTAAGTGTTAAGTAACATTATGTGCATTGTTTTCTAAGGTGAGATCCAAATACCAAACATAAGCATATTATAAAGTCGTGTAGACTAATGCATTCTCTTAACCATTTTTTTCTGAGGGGGGGGGGGGGGCATATGGACAGGGGGAAAAAAGCTCCATTTTTTTTTAAATCTGACATTCATTAGTAATTAAGAGCAAAATAATCGCCCTATAAGTTGCATAAAGGAGGTGTTGTCTTTTTTTTTAAAAGTATTTTTTATGTTTTTTCTTGTATAAAATTGTGTTCTGTGTTTGTTGCTGATATAACCTGATACTAATTGGATTTCATCTGAGTGCACAAAAAGAGTAGTTTGACATTGTACATGTAACCTGCCTGTCATTCATCTATCAAGTTGGATAAGACTTTGTACAATTAATTTTTTTTTGGTTGTTGTTTCAAATAGAACTAATCATTGAATCATTATTTGTATTGCTCATTCTGTGTCTGCCTTCATACTTTTCTTGTATCATGTGTTTACTTGACTTTACATCAATGTATGTTTTTTGCTCTTGTAATCTCTAATGTGATATACAATGCTGTACAGTGAAAAAGATACAGAATGCTCACTACACCTTACACCTTGTAAAGGTTGTTAGCATTCTTTGTAGCAAAACAACCTTATCTCTCATTGGTTCTACCCCAGAAGGATTATTCTCAAAGTGTGATTAAAAAAAAAAACATGAATAGATATGATTATTAAAAAAAACATAGGTCTTCACAATAGATTAGCATTAAGCATTTCTTTGTAGACATAAAGCCTAAATTATTTTTTTTCAGTTCTTCAATTATTCTTCTATTTTTATACTAGCATTACACACCCGCTACACCCTTTGTTTCCAGACTGTGCACTGTTTATTTTGGCTGGAACCTCCCATACGTCATTGATTTTTTTTGTTTTTGTTTCCGCTTCCAATAAAACAGCCCCCTTTAACATACCTTTTAGCCAGTGAATTCTAGTAACTGTTATGTTGGATTAAATTGACCCGCCGTCGCTCTCCCCCATCCTTTTTTTGTTTGTTTTACATTCTCCTATTATTTTTATAATTTCAAAAGTACTAGTACTGGTATGGTTTAGAAATGTTTTCATTTCTAGACAATGAGCTGTTTATTCATTTCCGTATTTAACATTCAGAAGTAAACTATCCAGTGTCATTAAAAGATTTAAGGAAAGATTCATTTTCCTTATGTTTGGGAAGCTGCTTTTTTTTAATTGTACACAGATCAATCATAATTTATATGGCTTCATTTATCTTGCTATGGGGTTTTCTGGTTCATTTGCTGAAGTATGTTACTAAGGTTATTCATGTATTCAATTTTGTAGTTATGGTAAGTTGGTGTGGTTGCATATGATGAAAGAGCAGTTGTTTAGAACCATTTCATTTTAAAACTTGTTTTTCATTGAAAGATGTGTGCACCAAACATTGGAAGTATCTCATTAGTTTGTTTCTTCACTGTTCAAGTTGTGGTCAGTGTGTATAAGTTACTTTGTCATATGACTTGTGCCTACAGGGGACATAAGGGGAAGTAACTTCCATGCTGCATAAATGGCTTGGGGATAAAGAAAAGAAAGGAGCATTGTTAACTAATTGGTTCTTAACATTTATTGATCTTACTCTTGCAGAAATGAAGCTCAGACTTGATGAAATGGAAACTAACTGAACACATAAGGATTCTTGAAGAACCACTTTACCTAACCAATAGTTTGAACAGAGTAATTGGCATTAAATTGAAGGACCACTACTTTATTTTACTTTCACCTTTTTTTTTTATAGTAGACTAAATATCAAGAAATTTGCACAGGCAATCATCCTGGATATTAAAAACTTTTTTCCTCCCCCTTAATTCTTATATTTAGAGAAACCAAAAGTGTTTTAATAACATTTTAGCTGGTTGTTATGCTCATTCTCTTTAGGCTGAAGTCCTTGGCCTCTGTTTCACCAACAATTTTATAATCTTGAAAGGGGATTTAAAATATATATATATACTTTTTGGATGTATAAAAGATTTAGTCTGCTGCCAAATCCTGTGTCAAATATTTATGCACTGTATTCTTGAATGTTTTGATCTTGAGTTTTATTTCATTTGAAATCAATTTCCTGCAACTGTAATAAGTATTTAGATGTCAAGTATAGAACTATAAAAAAAGTCATTAAGGATATCTACTGCACAATAAATTGGTACAGGCTTGTGATTAGAGCAAAATTGCTTTCTTATTAGCAGATAACGATGGGGCAATGCCTTGGTTTAATAATATAAGTTGCTGATTCTGCATAATGATTTTCCTTTGCTGTGCCTATTGTGTCTGCTATATCACAAATACTGGTACCACAGGAGCAGAACTATTATTTGTCGAAAATGAACTAAACTTGTCAAAACTGAAAGAAAAAATATATTCTAAATTCTTGTGATATTTCAAATACCCTAAAGACTATTTTGATATTTCATATATATATAATTATTACAAATAGTTACTATACTCTTCCTACTTTATATATTTGACAGGAAAAGTCATTAGGAGTTATTTATTTATTAGAAGTCTGCTAGAACATAGCTTTGTACTTCAATGCTACATTAAAAATGTCATGTGACCTGAAGAAAGTATTGAGTCTCTAGTATTCATTAATATGTTTATTTGTGTCAGATTTTAAGAGGGTTTCAGCAAAAGATACACTTCCTTCATTTACAAAGCACATCAATGTATTTGTGAACCCTTTAGCTGTTCCTTTTATTTAGTTTGCAGCATGCCACCATGTTGAGCTTAGATCGACTTTTGAACTCTGATTCTACAACTGGTTAAGTACAGGTATCTATCATGTTGCCAACACAACTACCTTAAATAACCTTATCCAAATAATTAACAGAATTGGAGCAATACCTTGCTAACTACCAATACCGCATTGGTACCGGGCCGTGTGATGAACATTCTACTATACAGTAAGGAAACTAGGTCAACCTACTAGTGGGGAAAAAGAGCTGAATATCTTCCACATTTGATGCTCAAGGCGGATTTTTTAAATTAAAGTGATAAGATTTATAAATGCAGACGCCTTGGCTGGCTTGAACATGTTCTCAGAATGCCACCAGGTCGACTTCTACAAGACATTCTGTATGGTGATCTAATAGAGGGACAGGGAGACACAGATGCGATATGAAGCTCTTCAAAATTGACACCAACAGTTTGGAAAAAGTGGCACTGTATAGATCCACATGGAGAGCGAACATAATAAAAGGTGTTATTGTAGATGGCATACACAACAGAAGTAGAACGAAGGGTAAAAATGCTACAGCACCTGGTGATTACAGATGTCCAGCCAGTAACTGCAGCTGTGTATCAAGGATTTTCCCTTGTGATGTAAAATGCCACTGAATTGGGAAGATTCTGCAATGCCTTAAAATCTAAAATGAAATAGCCCAACCCTCAATATTTTTTAAGCTAAGTTTTCATAGCATAATGTTTTTGTTAATAGAAAAACAACAATGGGTTCAATGTTGAAATAAATTGTTTAATAGAATGGTTGTGTTGCAATAACAATATGCTATCAAGTTTATATATACATGATACATCACTCACAAACTCAATGCTTCCTCCACCACATGATGGAAGCATGGCACAAAAAAAAAGGTCAAAGAATGTTACAGTCCACAGCTGTTTAAAATACAAAAACTCAACTGATCACACTGTGAAAGGGCTCTACATCTGTCAATGTACACAAACAATGACAATAAATGCTGTGCTCAGCAGTTTCAGGACTCATTTAAACACAAAGTATATATATAAAAAAAACACATTGTTTAGGTCTACAAGTGTTCAAGCACATAAACAAAATTGCTGTCTTAATTTTCAATCAAATCATCATAATACCTGTACATCGTAAATGAAAAATGAAAATCTGCTATTCAATATCATCATCCCTCCCACCCACCTCACACAGAAACATTTTGCATGAAGAATCAAATTTGTCTGAGAAGTTTTACCAATTTCATGCATCCAACAAGCATACAGTACACAGGGTAACTCTCCAAGTAATGTGAAGGCATTTCATGACTGGGGCTATCTCCGTTTGGACCTGTTGTCTTCGACCCTGGCCTTTTCCCTGGACAACTCTCTGTGTCTAGACACATTCTTATGCTCTCCTAGCCTGGACTTCTTGGCTCTCCTCACCTCCTCTTCCTCTGATGATGACTCTGTCGATGATGACTCGGACGAGGAAGTTGAGCTGTTGTCAGATTTGCTAGAGGCCTCAGAGATTTTTCTCTTCCGAGCCACCTGTTTTTTAGATTTAGTTTCTTCTTCTTTCTCACTGAGCCTATGCCTTTTCTTTGATTTAGATTCCATTATCTGTCTCCGGTGGTCAAGTTTATCCAAGTCTTCTTCACTAGAATCTGAAGAGTCGTGCCTCTTTTTTTCATAGTGGTCATAGTTTTTTCTTTTTCCTTTCTGATAATCGGCTGTACTCTTTCTTATCTCCTCTTCCTGCTGCCTTCTCTTATCATCACTCCATCTATTGTCATCATTATGCCTTCTGTCATTATACCTATCTTCATTTTGCTTTTTATGAATACTATTTCTCCTTCTTTCTCTCTCCTCCTTTCTATTGTCTCTATGCCTTCGTTCCCCTCCGCTATGACTTTTGTCACTAGCCTCGTAGCTTCTTTCATCTTGAGCTTTGCTTCTGTCCGTAGGACCTGATCTTCTGTCGATGGGACCTCTGTGACTTTCATCACGTCTTCTCTCGTGGCTATCTGTTCTATGTACACTGTCCTCTCTATTTCTGCGTGATCTGTCCCTCTGTTCTTTAGTCTCATCTTTTCGTTTCACTTTTCTGCTTCTCTGTTTACTTCTGGAATCTGATTCTGGACTGGAAGACTTGTCCCTGCGCCCCTTCTCTCTTCTCTTACTATTGGGAGTCTGACCATACTGTGCCATATTTAACAGCCTGTCTGCTATAGATATGGAATCTTCTGAAGGTGAGCTTTTTCTTCCATTCATTTGCTTAGAATGTGGCTTTGACACACTCCCTCTATCATCCTTGTTTCTGGCTTTTTCACGATCATTCTCAGAAGCCTTTTGTTTTTTGGACTGTTTTTTCCTTTTGGGAGGCTCATCTTCTGAATCTGATGAACTATCTGACTCTAGAATAGAAACAAAAAATTTAATTAAATTAAGCCAGGTACATACAAATTACTCAAATATTTACAGTCAAAACTAAAAAAAATGTCTGCATATCTATCAGTCATAGAGACCTAGTGTTTTTTTTTATTACTTTTAAAACCAAGACTTATTAGATATTCTGAAAATTCAGCAGCTCTTGACACTTACATTCCAAAAGTGATAAGACAATTTTAACCAATGTATTTGTCTTCAATAAAATAGGTTAACTTAAATTTATTTTAAACCTATTATGCATAGGCAAATCAAAGACATACAACAGTAAAACAAACAAGACAGGCAAAACATGCAGGAGAAGGGTGGGACTAACTTGCTACTAGTTTTTACATTTCATTAATGCAAACTCACATTAAAACACATTTTTTTTTAACAAAAATCAAACATTTTAAAAGATATTTGATTTGACTAAAGATATTCATTTCACAGAAGTCATTGATTTCCCTAAAGATATTCATTTCTCTGAAGACATGGATTTGACTAAAGACAGTGATAGATAACAAAGTCAAGTGAAACCTAGTATTCAGAAAGAGAAATCACCTGAAGAAGTGTCAGAGCTTTCACTGCTTGAGCTTTTCTCTTCCTCCTCTTGTTTCTGCTGCGCCATTTTGTTCATCACCTTCAGATGTTCTCTCAGTTCATCTCTGAGCAAGACAAAAACAGAATTGTATCAAACACATGGCAGTATGACAACTATGATCATGGTATGGGTTTTTATAAATGAGGTCTTTGAAAATGTATCAATTAGGTAGGTAACAAAAAAAAAAAAAAGAGTTTGTATACAAATTGGCCGAATGGATTCTGATGTAACCCACAAGTAAGACAATCACACACTGGAGGAAAGTGGGGGGAGAATGGCTGTAGTACAAGTAGGAGACAAGTGACAGATTGACGTCTGCTGATTGTAGTTTTTGTGTCTTGTAAAATTAGTTAACATCTATCATTACATTGTGATTCTATATACATCTAGATTGAAGTATGTATCTGTCAATATAAAGTTAAGTTCATCTTGGTTGAAAAAAAAAAGTGTTCAAGTTGATTACAAGGAAAATAAATCACCTAAAAAAGTTGTCCCAAGCTACAACCAGACATGCCTACCCCAATACCCAGAATGTTGAAACACTCAGGTTGAAAATGTGGAATTTCAGGCCCCAATGTGGAACATAAACGCGTAAACTTACGTTCAGCAGCCATGTTCCACGCAATAAAAAAACTTTAATTATTACTTTTTATAACAATACTAGTTTGCTTCTTAAATATAGATGTAAATAGTATTTAAGTAAGAAAACCTGTAATTGCTAATTATGTCCTTTGTTTGAAATCAATAGCTCTATCTAACTGTAGATCAGTTTGATGAATTCAATTCAAAATGTATTTTAATGTTAGTAGACTATCTATTTTTTATTTGTTATTACATTACTGACTATAAGATCTAGATCTAGAAAAGTTTAGAGTCTACTAGATTCTAGATATACATCTAATAAGTCCTCTAAGACAAAAACAATAAGTATAAATATAAGGACAGATTATAATAATTATATCTATATGATATATGATCTATATACGATAGATATAAATATTTATCTCTAGATTCTAGATCAACTGACTTATTCATTGAGAACTACATTTATTACATCTAGAAATCTAGATCTATCATTTTCTAATTCTACTATTAGATCTAGTCAATCTAGCTCTAAGTCTATTTCTAAGTCCTACTTCTGGATTCTAGATCTAGAAAGTAATTTAGACTTAACCTAAGTAATAGATCTAAGAAGATCTAGACTATATATATATATATATATATCCTTATTTAGGACTTAGCCTTACTGTGCCTAAGTTAATAAATTAGATTTAGGTCTTGACTCTAGATTAATTCTGGACTCTAGATTTTAATGTATTTTTAAAAAATTCTTTTCCCTAGAAACCAGTTAGTGTTAATAGTGTTAGATCTATCATTCTTTCTATCTAGATCTAGAATCTAGATCCATTGTCAGGAAAAGAAAGGGATTTGAATGGAGCTTACTAGCGCTTACTAGATTTTAAGAATAGATCTAGTATCTAGACTTCTAGAGCTAGAATAATCTAGATCCATGTATCTAAACTAGACATAGATTCTAGATCTAGATCAACCATATCTTTGTAAATTTAGGACACACCGGGTCTGGAAGGAGATGAAATGTAAATAATAAACACAGACCTATAAATATTTTATTTTGCATTCAGTATTTTCATTTCGCACTATTAATAAAAAAAACGGAGATTTTGTTTTTTTGGTCGGACTTCAGACTTTGTGAAGCAAAAAAAATTCTCGAATGCGGAAAGTTAGCTTTTTTTAATGATTTTTCAGGACGGTTCCGCATAATACGGGATGGTAGGCATGTCTGTACAACCAAACAATGACTTGTTCCCACAAACTTTTATTGGGAGAGCA